TGACCCATCCTCTCGCCAACATAGGACTGAGTGATTGACTCAGAAAAGCCACTGGAATGTTGCACTGTCGGAGCAAATATAATATCTTCGCATAACAAAATCCGTCTCATAGCCAAGAATCGAAATGGAAATTAAAAAAGAAGTTTGGTTAGAGCTTACACCTCTTCTTTGCTTGTGGTATCGAACTTGTAATTAGCAGTGAACCCATTTATCCTGGCTTGGCTATGAATGAGTTCGTAGGTTCGCTGGGAGAGCACAATTGAATATCCGAAATCGAGGAAACTACCTTTTCTCAAAGGATAGCTCATATACATGACTATGAGCTACTGCGTCAATGTAATTGTCGCCTCCATTGACATCCAAACTAACTCGTACATTCGGAGGGTTCCATGTTTGGACATCGTTTTGGTTAATTTCCTAGCAGCCCCGCAATCAAAATGTCTCATAACTCCTCTACATGCCCTTGTTTTGCAGCGTAGTGACGCCGCCAGCTATTAAACTCACTGAGTGGTCCTGATTAGGGACTGCGCAGACATATCTATCTGCCTGTATGAACACTTTCAGAGACTCACAAAATAAGCATGCCAGCCCAGAACGAAAACACGATGAGTAGCCCAACGTCGGCGAATAAATGTGAAGCACAAATGAATCCAAAAGCATTGTGCAAAGACGGCCTGCGATATATCATCACAAAAGCAGCGATATTCGACGCATTTCCTATGAGGCCTACCTAAACGAAAATCTTTCACTATTGCTTTCAATTCTCACACATTGACTCAGCTAGAAACAGAGTGGTTTCCAAATTTCAGAAACATGCAAAAAATGATTACCCACAACGGAAATCATGATTCTTCCTATTAAAATACACCCAAGAAAGTGTCACATAGTACAAAATGGTATCGGTGCAAGATGCACCGATAATAATAGCTTAGCATCGTCATAAGTCTATCCTACTACATGCGATTGCCAAATCATGCTTCGCACAATCTGTTGCTGTTGTTGTTTCTAATGTTGTTGTTGTGGGATATTGTAAAGCCTATTACATATATTCTCTCAATCGAACACTGTAAATATATGGAGTATAACGAATTACTTCGTTCATTTCCTTTACTGTGATCAATGATCCAATGCACTTCGTCGCTAAAGCAAGTGGTGAAGTGGCCGTACTCCCACCCCGAAATATAGGGGGGAAGTCATTTCAATGGCTTTTCGATCCCTTTTGTTGACCCATTTTGATTCTCAAACACGAAGACAAAAAATCTGAAGTTTCAGTACACTGGAAGGACGTTCCGCCCCTACCAATTATGAAAGGCTTTTAAAGTCATTCGACAAATTTGATGGTCTGGTAGTTTGCCCGAGCCGGTGACTAGATCACTGAAGTGTTAGTACCAGGTACAGAACAGAGCCCCTGAAGCTCTACACAAGCTACAAGAATGAAGATCACGTAGGGTCGAGCGTTCATGGCTCCAACTGATTAAGCTCAATAAAGGACATGAGCAGGACGTGAAAAAACAGTAGCGTTACCTTTTTTACGTGTCCTCGCCTCTCCCTGGGTTTGATCAAATAAACCTATGAACGGATTGTAAAAAAATTCAGCTCATACGTCCAATGTTTGTTGAAATGGACCACATATAGGTGGAACTATTTGATTATTCAGGTGGAACCATTTAATTTAACATTCAATAAAGGTCAACAAACTGCATAAAAAGCAATGCAAACAATCATCGTAGTATTACTGAAGGCGTTTCAATTGTGACAGTGAAGAAGCAGTTCATGGCACTTTCACGAGAAGAACGAAATTCCTTCTGATTCATCTGCGATACGTCAAACAATTCCCCATTCCACACTCGTTTACCGTTGTAGAAAGGTTGATCACGCTGAATCAAAGGGCTAGAGGCAGTCGAAGGAATCCTGAGCGCTCTGAAAAAGTTAGGTATGTAAGAGTCTGGCCACTGTATTTACTATGGCTTATATCACACGCAATCCTACACAACGCATTAGATCTGCATGTGTGACACAGGCAACATAAACATTCACCATTACCAGTTTTAGAGAAATCTCTGTAAAATGTAACTACGTCGCCCTATAGCTACTCCGAGAAAGGAATGTTTATCATGACACTTGAACAGCTCCTAGTGGAAAGTGTTGCTTTTCAACAACATCACCTGTACACGTTTTTAATCATTGCGTAATATCACAAAAACAGTTACGATGCATAGTGTTTGTTCAGCACATCTACCCTCTCGTACTCTGTTAGTAAGTGTAATCAGCCTATGCAATGATTTTTTCCGTCTTGAACAGAAAAAGCTATTTTTCTACAACAAAGCCGAAAGTGCATTTTGTAGTGTACTGAAGGAAGCTTCACAAAAGCTGTACAAACAGCGATTGCTCTGTCTGCCAGCGTAATTTTAGACAAGGATAGTTTTAAAAGGCTAGGTATTTAACGGTTCTCCATGCTCTGTGATCCTTCTATTCGGTTCTGCGCAAGCAATCCTCAACGATGATACTGTTGTTGACCGTCCTCGCCGCCCTACTTCCAATAAGTTATACCAAAAGAGAAACCTGCCAAGCTCTTGATTTCAAGGTTGGAATGGGAGCATTGCTTTCCAATGAAACGCGAGATCTGCTGTGGAACGCTAGCGTATACGTGGTATGTCTCCTAAAAGTAGTTGTGCTTTCACATATAAGCTGTGGATATTCTGTAAAAGCTGTTTTTCAGTTTGAGGACGATCCTATCGCATTTTACAGAGGATACCCGAGACTGGGTTCTGACAAGCAATTTTATGCTGTCTGTGTCCTATACTGGGAGTTTGTAAGTTACAAAGAATTCCGTTTCATATGAAGTCAAAACAAAGTAGCTGGGCACCCACAGCGATCTTTTTGAGAAAGCTCAGGTTTCATCAACTGAACGAAGCTCTTTATTTCAGCGTGGTGAACCTTTCCACTGCGGCAAAGTGATGTGGAACGGAAGATCATCTCGCGCAAAGGAAATTACTCTAGAACAATTCAGATCCTTCTATGAAAGATGTAGTGAGCTTCCTCTGCTACCTCTGGATTTGAAGAAACGACCAGTCAAGGATAATTGATAAATGTCGTGAATAAAACGTAGCATTTGAGAATATGTCCGAGAGTGAGTCAGAACGAGTTTGAGAGAAAGGAAATCTACTCTGATGCCAGGAATTCGCGGCATACATAATTCTGCAACGGAACTTTCTTTGACTTCGACGCTTTTCCCAGAGTTCCACAAGTTTTTAAAATCTGTCGACGAAAAAGCGTTTTGATTGTATGTGTAACCAATTTTGCACCACTGCAATGACCACCACTTCATCGTTTGTAGGTCCCCTTCCTACTTGTACTTCTTTCATTCACCTATCACCATGTTCCACTTGCACTGAAGGAACGTTAAAGATTAAACATCTTCCAGAAAAAGAATTGCTTTCCGGTTTTTCTTTGTGCAGATTGACAGCAGAACTCAACAGAGCTGCCATGTTCGATAGTCTGCTACATTTCAATGGCTATTGGAAGGATAAGGGCGATACGTTTAGTGTCTTGTCTTGTGTCTTGTGCTGATGGAGAATGCCTCCATACCCTCCCTTGCTGGCAGCACTGATTGTTGCCTTATTGTTCGTATCGACTCTGGCTCTGTGCAGATGGCTACTTTCTTTAAAGGCACCGTTCACGAAAAAATGGTTTCGGAGATTTGCACATGGTTTGTATTCGACGCCCCATCTGATACCAATTGTGCAGGAATTAGGTCGGAAAACGGTCTGGATAGGGCACAATAAGGGGCCGGAGAGTGAGCCACAATCGCCCTCCGCCTCTCGCTAGGCTGACTACGAAATCTAATTGCCGTTCACCACTTTCGCATTGGAGCGAAGTTGGTGAAAAATCGATAAGCTGGTTGGCAAATTGCCAGAGACGGTCAGCTGGTCGACCGCCTCCTTCTGGTACAAGTATTCGGCTGTATTTCTACTATTCGACTAATGTTCTGCTCTATTCCGTTCTAGTAAGTTATTCTCAGCCGTCATCAAAAGGATCAGACACAATAATCTCAAAATCTTAATATCGTCAGTGGAATAA